ACTGGCTGGTGACCACAGTGACAATCCATTTATAATATATTTATATATATATATAATATATATATAAACAATGTGAGGCCCCCGTTCGATAGCTAAGTTGGTGCAAATAAGTCCAATAACTTTGGTTTCTGGTATTTATAACTATAGTTACTGGGACTTATAAACCAAGTTACACACAGGGATTCAACGAGGAAACATTGGGATTGAAGGGTGAAATAATGGGGATAGTATGATAGGTTGATGTGGCGGAAAACTTTGGATGCAAACATATATAATGTGGTTAAAACAATAATAAACCACCATTTTTCCAATTTGGGAATGGTTTATACCACCTATTTATGGTGATTTGGGGGATGGTTTATGATTGCTTTAACCAGATTATAGTAGTTATATAGGAACCACAAAAAAGATAGAAACGTAACTTAAGAACATTTAAGTAGGAAGTTGCTTTTCTATCTTTTCGGGGGTTGCTATATCGGATAATCCATTTCTGGGACTCACTAACCTGGGTGATCAATTAGTAATTATCTAATTGGGATGATCCTCCAAGTGCTGACATTAAGAGATTTAGGGGAAGATGCCAATGTTCTACGAATGATGGGATGGTACCTGATTATACTAATCCCGAAGCAAAATGATGTGAACATGTTGGATTTCCTGAGTCGATCTCTTTTTAATGGGAAATCCACTACTTAGAGAATCGTTGAATAATATATAGATATGGTTGTTTATTTTGTGGGGTTCTGTTTGTTCCCCACCTGCCAGGTGAGGGTTGTTAGATTTTATCAGAGTTGTTCTTCTCCTTCTTCTCCTCCTCTTCCTCCTTCTCCTCCACCTCTGCCTCCACTTCCATGTTCACTTCCGCCTTGCCAACTCTTCGCCAAGCTCTTCGCCAACTTCCGCACGCAGTGGGCACTGCTGGACCTCAACTGCAAGGGTCTGAGCGCACTGGGCACCGCTGGACCTCAACCTGGGACCTTCCGAGCTCAGTGAGCACCGCTGGACCTCAACGGCCAGATAGAATGCCAGAAGATATGCCGGATAGAACGCCAGATAGCATGTCAGATAGAATGCCAGAAGATATGCCAGATAAAATGCCAGAAGATATGCCAGATAGAATGCCAGAAGATATGCCAGATAGAATGCCAGATGGTATGCCAGATAAAGTGCCAGAATGTTTGCCAGATAGAATGCCAGAAGATTTGCCAGATAGAGTGCCAGATAGGATGTCAGAAGACATGCCAGAAGATATGCCAGATAGAATGCCAGATAGCATGCCAGAAGATATGCCAGAACATATGCCAGAAAATATGCCAGATAGAATGCCAGAAGGTATGCCAGATAGAATGTCAGATAGAATGTCAGAAGGTATGCCAGATAAAGTGCCAGAATGTTTGCCAGATAGAATGCCAGAAGATTTGCCAGATAGAATGCCAAATAGGATGTCAGAAGATATGCCAGAAGATATGCCAGATAGAATGCCAGATAGAATGCCAGAAGATATGCCAGAACATATGCCAGAAGATGTGCCAGGTAGAATGCCAGAAGATATGCCAGATAGAATGCCAGATCGAATGCCAGAAGATTTGCCAGTAACAAATCGATAAATGTCATGGTGGGGATCACACGAAGTAAAGTAATTTATTTTTGCGGGGTTCTGTTTGTTTATTTTTGTGGGGGCCCTTAAGCAAATTCAAGGACACTGGGTGATATAGGAAAATATACTCGATAGAGTCAGCAGGACTGGCTGGTGACCACAGTGACAATCCATTTATAATATAATATATATATAGAAACAATGTGAGGCCCCCGTTCGATAGCTAAGTTGGTGCAAATAAGTCCAATAACTTTGGTTTCTGGTATTTATAACTATAGTTACTGGGACTTATAAACCAAGTTACACACAGGGATTCAACGAGGAAACATTGGGATTGAAGGGTGAAATAATGGGGATAGTATGATAGGTTGATGTGGCGGAAAACTTTGGATGCAAACATATATAATGTGGTTAAAACAATAATAAACCACCATTTTTCCAATTTGGGAATGGTTTATACCACCTATTTATGGTGATTTGGGGGATGGTTTATGATTGCTTTAACCAGATTATAGTAGTTATATAGGAACCACAAAAAAGATAGAAAAGTAACTTAAGAACATTTAAGTAGGAAGTTGCTTTTCTATCTTTTCGGGGGTTGCTATATCGGATAATCCATTTCTGGGACTCACTAACCTGGGTTATCAATTAGTAATTATCTAATTGGGATGATCCTCCAAGTACTGACATTAAGAGATTTAGGGGAAGATGCCAATGTTCTACGAATGATGGGATGGTACCAGGATTATACTAATCCCGAAGCAAAATGATGTGAACATGTTGGATTTCCTGAGTCGATCTCTTTTTAATGGGAAATCCACTACTTAGAGAATCGTTGAATAATATATAGATATGGTTGTTTATTTTGTGGGGTTCTGTTTGTTCCCCACCTGCCAGGTGAGGGTTGTTAGATTTTATCAGAGTTGTTCTTCTCCTTCTTCTCCTCCTCTTCCTCCTCCTCCTTCTCCTCCACCTCTGCCTCCACTTCCATGTTCACTTCCGCCTTGCCAACTCTTCGCCAAGCTCTTCGCTAACTTCCGCACGCAGTGGGCACTGCTGTACCTCAACTGCAAGGGTCTGAGCGCACTGGGCACCGCTGGACCTCAAACTGGGACCTTCCGAGCTCAGTGAGCACCGCTGGACCTCAAACTGGGACCGTCCGAGCTCAGTGAGCACCGCTGGACCTCAACCTGGGACCCTCCGAGCTCAGTGAGCACCGCTGGACCTCAACGGCCAGATAGAATGCCAGAAGATATGCCGGATAGAACGCCAGATAGCATGTCAGATAGAATGCCAGAAGATATGTCAGATAAAATGCCAGAAGATATGCCAGATAGAATGCCAGAAGATATGCCAGATAGAATGCCAGATGGTATGCCAGATAAAGTGCCAGAATGTTTGCCAGATAGAATGCCAGAAGATTTGCCAGATAGAGTGCCAGATAGGATGTCAGAAGATATGCCAGAAGATATGCCACATAGAATGCCAGATAGCATGTCAGATAGAATGCCAGAAAATATGCCAGATAGAATGCCAGAAGGTATGCCAGATAGAATGTCAGATAGAATGTCAGAATGTATGCCAGATAAAGTGCCAGAATGTTTGCCAGATAGAATGCCAGAAGATTTGCCAGATAGAATGCCAGATAGGATGTCAGAAGATATGCCAGAAGATATGCCAGATAGAATGCCAGATAGAATGCCAGAAGATATGCCAGAACATATGCCAGAAGATGTGCCAGGTAGAATGCCAGAAGATATGCCAGATAGAATGCCAGATCGAATGCCAGAAGATTTGCCAGTAACAAATCGATAAATGTCATGGTGGGGATCACACGAAGTAAAGTAATTTATTTTCTGGGGTTCTGTTTGTTTATTCTTGTGGGGGCCCTTAAGCAATTTCAAGGACACTGGGTGATATAGGAAAATATACTCGATAGAGTCAGCAGGAATATTAGAATTAAAATCGTACTGACGCCTCATGCTCCTGGGACACTGATCGACTTGGGTGTGTTTCCGTATCATCGCCTTCCAGAGAACATCCAAGTGGTTTGCTCAGAGAATGAGTATATCATGACCTCTACTTCTGTTACTTTCTTTAATGCCTTGCTGCTCAGGGAAGCCGACAAGAGGACTGAAGCCAATGGAGTCGGCTCAAATGGCAGGAGTGGGGTTTTTCCACCGAACGCTGGGCAGACGATTCCGATGACGAGGCTCTTTTTTGATCCGTTCCGGGCATTCTTCCGAGCATTCAGTCCCAAACATAAGCACGGCGGCCGACTGGCAAAGCGCCGGGACTTGACGTGCAAAGACTCACACTGTTGACTGCGTTGCATACTTTGACTGTGAGTAACATCGTGACCAGTGGCTACGGGACCAAGGTGTTCAACGCCCTGGGCGGACGCCAGGGGATTGAGGGGATTACTGTCATATCCCAAATACTTACTACTGAAGAAAAACACGCAAATCGAAACAACAGTCTCGTGGGATTGGATAGCCCATGAAAATATGTGGAGATGGAAATAGAATATCTCGAAATGGCACTTGTCAAAATATGTTTTGTACCGTTTCTGCATGGGCTTCGGTGATGATTTGGTGAATCCTCACCAAGACCAGTGAAAAGACCCTCGGTCTAGAGGTCTACCCTGTCAAAATTGTTGTCCTGTAGTGGAATGACTTTAGAATCTGCGATGTAATCCTGTCACATCCTACTATATTCATGCTTATACATGGGTTTGTTCAAGGTGATTGTTTATTTTCCACTGGTAAATCTACCATTTGGGGAATTTACAGGGAATACTTCATTTTTTTGGGGGAGCCCTTAAGCAATCCAAGTACGTAGCCTTATTATATCACCACGGGTGGTTGGGTATTAATTTATTACATGGGTTTGTTTGAAAGAACGGCAAACCAAAACTCATTGGTTGAAAGCAAGGGCCACCTTGTAGGCCGAATTGTCATACGCACTTCAAAGTGCCAACACGATAAGAACAAGTGTAGGTTTATACCAACGTTTTTTTGTTGTTTAATGTTTTTGTCATTGTTGTTATGTTAAATTCAAATTGTTCATGAATGAGTCACCATTTTGGTTGCTTTAATCCTCATCCTTGATGCTCAAATCCCTATTTGTGCTACTTCAATTTCAGTCATGAAATGAAAACCATATTTAAATCATGAAATGTACACCATTGTTATTCCAGAAGATCCCCATGTTGTTGGTTATATCAGTTACCCCGAAAGACCATGTATATATATATATATACATACATAGATAAGTCACTTCGAAAACCCCATGAACATGGAATGTATAATCCCATCCAAACCATAGAAACAACTGGTATTTCGGGCCTTATTTGTATCCCATATGTTTGCTGCTGAAAGTCATTTCTATCCATCGACTGGAGGCCACGAAGCCCAAGATCAAGGAGGTAGGGACGGGCTTTCTGTTGGACTTGACATTTTTTTCGGCATATCATATCCATAAATGTATATATGTATATACTATATACACATATACCATCTAATAAATACATATCATATAACTATAGAACATCACTGTTTTGCACTAGCGACATCAAGGAACGAAAGGGCCATGTTCAATAGTTTTTTTGGTATGTTTACCAGATGCTATATACTATATAAATATGATATAAACTGGTTGGTGGTTTGGAACATGTTTATTTTTCGATTCAGTTGGGAATGTCATAATTCCAACTGACGAACTCATATGTTTCAGAGGGGTAGGTATACCACCAACCAGAATCTATAGTTATATCAGGTGTGGAACGTTTTTTATATGTCTATACCATAAACCCTAGTGAATGGAGCTATTATATACCCTCTGGTTATTTAACATAGCCATGGACAATGGTCCATTTATAGATTCATATGATTTTCCCAGCTAGAAACCTCCATTTATAAGGGATTTTCCATGGCTATGTTAGTCATAACCAGAGGGTATAGAATAGTATAGATTGTAAAATCCCATCTATAACCATTTATCCATGTATCCCATCTATAACCATATATAACATAAATATTAACCATAAATACATATTGATTTCATAGATACATAGATATTATTAATCAATATATATATATATACATTATAAATATCTGTATCCATCTGGGGAAGATTGTTTCCCCAGGCCGTGAAGCAGCTCTACGACGTGAAGTGCGCCAAGGTGAACACCTTGATCCGCCCAGATGGGCACCTTGTCCGACAACTTCTCTAGAGGATGGAGGTGTTTGAAATCACAGGATTTCGCGAAGAAAAATGCTTGGTTTTATGGGATTTACCGCAATAAAACATGGGATTTGATGAGATTTTAATGGTGGTTTAATGGGATTTACCTATAAGACATGGGATTTGATGAGATTTTAATTGGATTTACTATGATTTTATATGATTTACCGATAAAATCTTGCAGAATTCATGAGGATGTAATGAAATTTAAATGGTAATTTAATGACATTTTCCCATACACAAATGATGCTTTGGTCTCTGGTAATCAAACGTGGCCAGCACGGGTTCTCCCCGAACTAAATCGCGGTTAAAAGCTGGGAAAGTAAATTGAGGAATATTGTTCCACTGCCAAGTTTGATTACCAGAGGGTATGTCAGTTATATGTGAAATTTGGTTGAGATTTTGTAGTCGAATTGAATGACTTGAGTGGGATTTAAGCCGGATGCCAAAGCATCAAGGTTTCTGGTGGATGTATCATGATATCTCGAGAGTTGATGGGGTTTATGAACCAACTTATCACTGAGTAACTGGGGGCCATTACCTTGTAAGGACCTAGACATTAAAATGGGGGTATCAACCAGCAAGAATTGGAATATACATGATTGTTAGGATTCGGTTAAGAACTCCCAAATCACCTTATTTCAGCTTCGTGAAGTATTACAATTTGCCCAGATTTGTATAAGTTGAATTGGCCTTTCACAACCAATCCCTTCAAATGATGATTATACAATGATACAATGCGCGTCCATAATATTTGTTGACACTTGGAACCATGAATATTAATATGTATTAAACCCAACGACTCATCTTTTGTCTCATAGATTGCATAAATCATCCAGTACCACCAAAGATTTCACCGGTCTGTTCCCCCAGCAAGTTCCAGAAATCTGGTCCCATCATGGGCTGCTGAGGAAGAAGAAGGCCTACGTGCGCCTGACACAGGATTACGATGCTTTGGATGTGGCCAATCGCATTGGTCGCTGGGACATCAACTGGGAGACAAGTACTGAATGCTGCAGTAGTTTCTAGATTTTACATAACATGTACGCTTCTCATATATATATATTACATTTAAATATATATATATATATATATTTTATTTATTTATATATGTAATGGTAGAGCTCTACTATCCAGCAAATATATATATACATACACATATTCATATATACTGTAGATGTGTACGTTTTTGCTGGCAATCTAAGATTAGTCAAGTCTGGGGATCTCTGGTACTTCACCCTGTTTTTGGCCATGGCTATTAGTTACAACTGGTTATTTGAACGGGATTATATATTCCATTTTTTGTGGGTTTACTTAGTACTTATAACTGGTATTTCGGGCCACAACTCTGATGTGTCTTTGGAAATCTGATGAAACCAAAGTACAGTATTTGCAAAGTATCATATTGCAAGTGGTTATTTTGGGGGGCCTTATCATTGGGGTCTTTTAAACAAGATATGTCTCCTGTACCACTGTCAGTTTCATCAGTCCAGGGTGATGAATGCTATCACGATGGGGGTCCACTAAAATTCAGTTCCAGTTATAAGTTACAAGTGGACATACAAACATCATACATTTATGGCCATTTGTTAGTTACATTTGGTTATATTTGGGATTATACATTCCATAAATGAGGTTATAGGTACTTATAACTGGTAGAGGGCCATATGTGTATGGGGGTTATATCCCAACTTATGGTTAGAATCCCATAGTCATATTGATAACCTCAGCTGCACCTCCGAGTACCCCAACCGTGCATAACCAACTTCCAACTTACAGAACCGGGGCAAGGATCATAAGATGTCCCCGTCAGGTTTGTTTGGTTCATGTTCACCGATCATAAGATGTCTCATCCATGGTGGCTTCGTTAAGCATATCTGGGCGGGATACTAAACCCATGAAATGTCTAGTGATGTTTAGTGAGTTTAGTGATGTTTAGTGATGTTTAATGATTTTTAGTGATGTTTAGTGATGTTTAGTGATGTTTAGTGATGTCTAGTGATGCTTAATGATGTTTTGTGATGTTTAATGATGTTTAATGATGTTTAATTGTGTTTAGTGATATTTAGTGATGTTGAGTGATGTTTAGTGAAGTTTAATGATGTTTAGTGATATTTAATGATGTTTAGTGATGTTTAGGGATGTTTAATGATGTTTAGTGATGTTTAGTGATGTCTAGTGATGTTTAGTTATGTTTAGTGATGGTTAGTTATGTTGATGTTTAATGATGTTTAATGACGTTCAGTGATGTTGAATGATGTCTAGTGATGTTTCATGATGTTTAGTGATGTTTAGTTTTGTTTAATTATGTGTTTGATGATGTTTAGTGATGTTGAGTGATGTTTCATGTTGTTTAGTGATGTTTGATGATGCTTAATGATTTTTCGTGATATCCTTTCGTTTTTTTGACCAGAAATTGAACATAACCATAACCAGCAATATGTTTTGTTTTCAATGGCTACCTTGAAGATTGACCATGAGTCCATTAAACCCAAACGTCTTCCCCATGTCCTGAGGCATCATCTAAGCTGGCGCCAAGGACGACCCCCAAGACATGGGTGGTTTATTGTTGGGATATCCCATAAGATACCCTCTGGTAAACATACAAAAAGCTGTTGAAAATTGCCATTTACTGTTGAATTACCAATTAAAAAATTGTGATTTTCAATAGTTGTGTTAGTTTACCGGAGGGTATCCCATAAAGGATCCCTTATTAACCATTATTAACCACTACTAACCACTATTCATCCTTGATAATCCCATGTTGTGGAGATTTCCAGTTACTCATCAGTTAAGGCCATGGCCATTAGTTATAGTTAACTGGTTATTTCAATCGGGTTATACATTCCATTTCTATGGGGGTATTTCAGTGACTTATAATTAAGGGGTATGAACTATAATGGTTGAATGGCTCATTGCCATGTTTGATTCCCGAAGGGTGTATGTACATTATTATATCAGTATTTTATAAGGTATAGGATTAGCTGCATTGGTAATACTAACATGCATGCTTATACTTGCATATGTGTATATATATATATATGGCTTGATTCGGTCACAGCATTTATATATTTTATTTATCATGTATCCACGCATTGATTTGCAGCACAAACATTTAGATCTTGCCGTGCATTTCCAGGACTTACTCAATGCGCAACGACTGGGAGGGAGAAAGCGGAAGACATCGGTGGAGAAAAGAATGCGGTGGCTGGCCGCTGCGCATGCAAAGTGACACACAAAGTGACCCATGCACAGTTTGTCCCGTGTGGTTTAGACTCGGTTACTGCGGGGTAAACCGAACCTCCAGTTACGCCCCTTTACCAGTTATAAGTCACTTATAACTCCATTTAATTATAACTCATAAATGGCCATAATTGTAGATGAATTGCAGATGTGGAAAACCATGGTTTCCGCTTCAGAAAACGATCTACATTCATGATTTTTCTGTATGTTGGAGGCTAGTTGCTGGCATAAGTTCACCGAAGTTTCTAATGGAATTGATTGACCGATCCAAGAAGGGAGAAACTCAGAGAAGGGGACAACATAGTTCCAGTATCAGATTGTGGTGTTTGTCACCCCTACAGCACCATGGGATTTTGAGAAAACATCGACTATGTTGGTGTTTTTTGTGGATATTAGTGTTGGTTGGTTTGTTAGATCATCCAATTGTTTGGGGTATTTAGCACTGAATGCAAAAAACGGGCGAAACACTACGAGGAACCGAGGAATCAAACAAATTGCGTTTCTTTGAAAATAGGGTAGTTGGACACCGACCACTGCACGGCCGTGGCACGAAGTGGCTTTTTTTTGCGTTTTGAACGTTTTTGAAGGGTTGGGGTGGGGTGGGGCATGTTAACGTTGCTTGTACGTTGCACACATGTTGGATGCTACGTTACTGAAGGGTTGGGGTGGGGTGGGGCATGTTAACGTTCCTTGTACGTTGCACACATGTTGGATGCTACGTTACTGAAGGGTTGGGTGACGATGTGATGATGATGGTGATGACGATGATGATGAAGATGAAGATGAAGATGAAGAAGAAGATGATGATGATGATGAAGATGGTGATGAAGATGATGATGATGATGATGATGATGATGAAGATGGTGATGATGATGAAGATGATGATGATGATGATGATGATGATTATGATGATTATGATGATGATGATGATGATGTTCATTATCATGATGAAAAACAAGTAGTTTTCTGAAACGACGATGATGCATTTTCACATGCCGGATGTGCAAAATCATTGTTTCGCTATAGCGGCGTGCTTATTTTCTATTCACATCATGAGCATTTTTACCACGGCCGCGAAATCGTCGTTAACCGGGTAGTTACCCTAACTCCCCATGAAAAATACCACATCTTCAGACACGCTGGCCATCTTGTCTTGCTGGGTGCCTTTGATCGCTGACCATGGCCATCATGGACTCTCTTGGCCCAAACGAGCTGTTATCGCAACGAAAACACGCCGCGGGTACAAGGAGGCGTGGCTCGGGTATCACCAAAGAACAGTGTCGAACGAAGTTTTGGCAATTCAACTTGGATTCGAAGGTCGACAAAAAAAACACCTGCGATTCCAAGCCCGTGGGGAGGTTACAAAAGTTGTATTTTGGAATACTGGTTGGTGGTTTGGAACCATGGAATTTTATTTTTCCATTCAGTTGGGAATGTCATCTTTCCAACTGACGTTCACTCATATTTTTCAGAGGGGTAGGTCAACCACCAGCCAGATATATATTAACCATAAACATTCATAAAGCACATTGTTAAACTAATATTTGTTCAACCATTCAACCATTGACTTTCATATTTTTCAAGATGGTTAAAAACACCAACCAATTCAATATATATATATATATTTATATGTATATATATATTTGGCATATGTTGGAAGGGGATTCTAACATGGGAATCTTCCGAAGGACACCTCTCCAGGCCTCAACGTATTTTTTTGTCGAAGCTGCCTCTTTTTTTCACCGCTCAGGAAATCCGAACGGTAAGACAATCGCATCCCCCCGATATTAATCACCCACAGTGATGACCATGGCTATTAGTTATAACCGGTTATTTCACTGGGATTATACATTCTATAAATGGGGTTTTGTTAGCGTAGTTATAACTGGTATTTCTGGCCATACGTGCAATTGATCCCAATAAGGTCCCTTATTTTTTTCTGGTCCCGATGGATGTTAGCATTCTGGTTTCCCCGAGACCATGATTTATCCCCATCATCCCCAATGAAGTTCATCCTCAAAATGCTGATGCGGCTGATGCTAACTGTAATCCCCATTCATACATATTCATACTAAGCACTCAATAGATACCACCCGGTAATCAACCGTGGCAATGGGAAATTCTCATAGATGATTTTCTCATGAACACCTCCATTGGTATTTTCAATTGCCACGTTTGATGACCGGGGGGTATGTGATTTTATCCCCTCCATGATTTCTGGAACAGAATTGACAAATCTTCTTGCTGAACCACTTGCAGGTCCAGTTGCTGCCATCTATGTTCAGAAAAGAGAGACGTATCCATTATATCCATCCAGGAATTTATGAATTGTTGATATATATATATATTTGTGACATCCCAATTTAGCAGATGTATTTCATGGTTAAGCCAGTTCTATAAGTCTAATGTTTTCCCATGTTTTCCCATGTTTTCCTGGTGAAATCGCTGCGGTGAAAAATGCTTTCAGCAGCTGAGGTGTGCCACCATGAAGGCGCGATCGCCGCCGAGCAGTGGCGGCAGATGTTTTCTTTTCTTCGATGAGATGACGTCTTTGTTTGATGATTGCCCTCTGGTAAATAGATGAATAGTGGTTAATAGTGGTTAGTGGTTAATAAGGGATCCTTTATGGGATACCCTCCGGTAAACGTTTACATAACTATGGAAAACCCACCCATTTTTAATGGGAAAATCCACTATTTCTATGGTCATTTTCAATAGCGAACTGTTAAATTACCGGAGGGTGCATCAAACACCTGTTGTTTCAACCATAGTTGGGATCATATTTGCAGAATTGGTTTCAGGGAAAATTTGGGGGAGGCAACCGCAAACCATGTGAACAGTCAAAAATCCATGGTTTGCTGCAGATGTTCCTTTCATCCAATCCAATGACAAATATATAGAACATGGTGCCCCCCCCAGTTGTCTTTTATAATTGCTTTATAAAATACCCACTAACTAGTTCAATATCTACCATAAACCTCATCAAATTCACCTACAAGGTAGGGCCCTCCACTCATAAGTTAGTTTATAAACCCCACTATATAACTTCTTTATGTATCTATAAATATATTACATATGTATAATATAACATAAACCATCACAAACGATAGTTCTTGGAATGATAAGCCAACTTAGCTATTTTGGGGGCTCCACCTTGGCGACCAACTTAGCGACCAACTTAGGTCCCGGCACGCTGTCACGCGTCGCCGCAGGTGGACACGTCCAGCAAAACTAAGAAGTCCGAGGCTACTGGATTTACAGTTATGGAACCGAAATACCAGTTATAAGTGACTTTAACTCTGGTTGGTGGTTTGGAACATGTTTTATTTTTCCATATATTGGGAATGTCATCGTCCCAACTGACGAACTCATATGTTTCAGAGGGGTAGGTATACCACCAACCAGAACTCCATTTTATGGAAAGTATAATCCCATTGAAATAAGAAGTTATAACCACTTATATTCATTTATAATTGGTAAACGGCCATAACTGTAGGGCTCTCCTGAAGAACATGATCCACAAAAAGGGGTACGAGTTGGGGAGTTAGCGATATAGATATTTGAGTAGCAAAATGGTGATAGAACGAGGTCAAATGGCATTTAATGGGAATTTGGTGGGATTGAATTTGTCTCATGGCCAATATATTGTCATTGTAGTGAAGTGACTGTCATTTTGTTTCCATTCCAAACAGCAATTTACAAGTGTGTCTAACCAGAATTGTATGTTGCACCGTAAAGAGGTATTTACAAAGTGGGCCACCCTATAGTTATAAGTTGGTTTGCAAAGCCCACTAACTACTACTGGTTGGTGGTTTGGAACATGGATTTTATTTTTCCATTCAGTTGGGAATGTCATCATCCCAACTGACGAACTCATATTTTTCAGAGGGGTAGGCGCAACCACCAACCAGACTGTTATATATCCTATAAAGCCTGGTCCGCCAAGTTATGTTCACCAACTTAGCTATCGAACGGGACCCCACCTTGTATGACTGGAATGGAACTGGATAGGAGACTATGAACAAGGGCAAGTTGGGGCCCCTAAATGATAGCCAAATGGGTAAACATCAGTGGATGTTTATGGTTAAGTTGATCCACATGGGCTTAAAAAAACAACAAGATGCAGCCCACGAACCCGAATGCTCACACGTATGTTAATGGTACAAGACGTCTAAGCGCGAAGTGTAAAGTGCCGACTGTGGAGTGTAAAATGTCAAATGTAGAGTGTAAAGTGTACAGTGTGGAGTGTGAAGTGTAGCATGTGGAGTATTAGGTGCCAAGTCGAAAGTGTGAGTCGTAGAGTGTGGACTGCAAAGTGTCAACTGCAAAGCGCGGAGTGTAAAGTGTGGAGTGTCAAGTGTAAAGTGTGGAGTGTGGAGTGTAAAGTGCAGAGTGTGGAGTGTACAGTGTAGAGTGTGAAGTGTAGAGTGTAAAGTGTAAAGTGTTCAGTGTGGAGTGCAAAGTGTAGAGTGTGGAGTGTAAAGTGTGGAATGTAAAGTGTGGAGTGTGAAGTGTAAAGTGTGGAGTGTGGAGTGTAAAATGCAGAGTGTGGAGTGTACAGTGTAGAGTGTGGAGTGTGAAGTGTAGAGTGTAAAGTGTAAAGTGTTCAGTGTGGAGTGCAAAGTGTAGAGTGTGGAGTGTAAAGTGTGGAATGTAAAGTGTGGAGTGTGAAGTGTAAAGGGTGGAGTTTGGAGTGTAGAGTGCGGAGTGTGGAGTGTAGAGCACGCAATGCGACACGTCTGAAGTGCTGCGCCTGCCACGCAAAATGAAGAGGTCTCCAAAGTTGTTGGCCAGCCATGAAGACTGCAACTCATCTTGTGAATGACAACCTGCTTGGAAACCTTCTACAAGGAAAGGTTTTGCAGCTTCCCCCATAGACACGGCGAGGACGCAGGAAAACCAAAGACTCGACACTCAAGACGAGACACGTTGCAGCATCAAAACGCGCATTTCGTGCTAGACTTCCGCCAATTTTCAGACTTTGTAGCTTCAAAATCGACGTTTTCCTACGAGTTTTCTTATCAACCTCCAAATTTGCTACCGCAAAATCGATGTATCGTGCGAGGCTTCTGTGAATTTTCATCACATCTCACAAAATGCCACGCTTGAAACGGGAACCCTTGGGGAAAAAACGGCCTTTTTTTCTTTCCCTTGGCAGCGTGGTATACAACCATCAGGTGGGATCCAACTCCACCAACAACCGCATTGTTTTTCGGCGAGTCTTTACCGTGTTGGGGTGGGGTTTCGGGAGTGGCTGAATAGCCACAATGTATTTGACGGATGTGTTTCCTTAATCTCAAAGACTGCCATCATTCGTCGGGTCCCAGGTATATATATATATATGTTTTTGGTGACACGTATTTCTACAACCGCCGCGTAGGCGTTGAGATTTTTGTTGTCACCGCACATGGATAGTATAGGTGGGGTGGGGTGGGGTGGGCTAATAACGTCCATGTACGCTTGCGGAACTACGTCATGCTACGTTGATGTAACGTTCTTGCACGCTTGCACATCTACGCCGTGCTACGTTGATGTAACGAGCTTGCAGTCATTGCACGCTTGCACATCTACGCAGTGCTACGAAATTCGTGAAAGTGGCCTCTTGAAACAATTAAAAAAAGTGGAGCTATTGTTTACTCAGATGGATGGATGTCAAAGTTGGAAGACGGTCGCCAGAGAACACCGCAAGCAACAGTTGGTTGTGAAGTCGGTGGTCCACATGCGTAGTGAATGGACTCGGAAGGTGCGAGTGCGACGAAAGACGAAAGTTGCAGGAACCCAACAGATTGATCGTTGTTGGAACCACCTCCAATTTTTTTGCCCCAGTCAGATGAAGAACCGCACTGGCCCAACCATCAATGCTAGATTCTGGGATAGAATCTATCAGTGGATCTATCGCCACAACTGTCTAAATGAGACATGACGACCACATGCGAGATGAAAAAAAAAGGCTCTTGAAACTTTTCGCCGTCTGATGTAGAAATTGGTCATTGAAAAAATGACAAAACGTGAGGCGTTTTGGGACATGGATGTCAAAAACACACGGTTGTGTAAATCCGTGTTACCATGTTTTTGTTCTGGGAATGTGTAGTAACTTGATTTGGGCAGTTGATCCAAAAAGTGTACCCTCCGGTAAACTAACCAACAGTTAAGTTAAGCTTGGTAAATCAACGAACTAAATGTTTTTAAGTACATAGCAAACTGTTAAATTACCCGATGGTATTCTTGGTTTCTATGTTCTATGACATTGGTTTGACTGAAACTAGATAGACCCAGAAATAGCCATCAAATAATGGAATGGAGAATGATGATTTCTATGATTAACGGTGCTTGTTTACCTGAACGTTATGGGACACAACCTTAGATTGAAATCAGTTGGCAATGCAGCTTTGAGCCTTAAACCTTGACAAGTTGTTTAGAGGAGCAGGCCAAAAGTTTTAGGCTATCTACCAGAAATATCCGTAAACAATGAGGAATTTCATGTGGTATGAACGGCACATGTTTAATTTCAAATTGAAAATTTGTTTTCATATAAGCAACGGTTTTTATGGGCAACCTATTTTCGGACGAACCCTGATGGCGAATTGTTGACCAAAGTAGTTGTAGCATCCCATCGTAGTCCGGGGTGGCTTTGACTTTTGGGAGAACTTGGTTGATCCATCCAACAAAATACAATACTTGATTTGCGATGGCTGAAATTTGTAATTAACCAGTATTTTACCAGGCTTTATGGTAGAATATCAATGACAATTTCAGGACATAAAAACAAAGATAATTATTGTACCATATAGGGCCACACATATTTGTACATATATATATATATGTATATATATATGTATATAATGTATATATATATATATATGTATAATGTATATATATATATATGTATATATATGTATATATATGTGTGTGTGTGTGGCCATATTCCCTACCATATCCCTTCCATACGCCTCAAACATGGTAGATATATGTATCATCCATATCTCAGCCAAAAAAAAACGCACCTCCTTCCCAACTGTTTTTTCCGCTATGTGGCGCCATCTCTGGCGTTTCCTGGTTATTGCGGCCTGCGTTGCGGAAGACTATGCGCTGCATGAGTCGCTCGGTGAGCAGCTGCGATCTGCACCTCTTGGTTGATACTTTTGGTGGCAGTTTTAGCCCAGATACCAGTTACAAGTACGTATAGTGCCATAAAAATGGAATGAATAATCCCATGGAAATAACCAGTTATAACTAATAACCACGGCCATAACTGTAGGCAGCTCAATGCTGTTTCAATGTGTTTTAATCATCAAAACATGAGGATATGTTTGTGACTATTTCTGTATATACTCAACTAATACTAAAATGAGCCACCAAATATTATCACATGTTATTTCTAAATACAAACATATTCATTGCAATCTTTTTGGTGAACTACATGGCAGAGCAGATGACTGAAACATCTCATCCCCATAACATACCCATTTTAATTGTCGTTGATGGCTGTTGTATACCACCATGTTTTTATAATTGATTGGGTTACACCCCTAGTTTCTATGATGTTTGAAATCATCATTTTCTCTTGGGTGGTACCGTCTGGTAGACTAACGTACCATAGCTGCAGAAACTTCGCCACTTATAGATTTACCTCTTCAAAACGGTGGTTTTCCATAGTTATGTTTGTTTACTGAGGGTATCCCATAAAGGATCCCTTATTAACCATTATTCACCACTATTAACCACTATAATTCCAGGGTACCCCCTGGACTTTTCCCCCCACCAAAAAGAAAAAACGATTTGGCTTCGGACTTGAGGTGCCACGATGTAGCGCCCCAGCGCAACTCCATCTGCGTCATGGTACAGTTTGGATGCTCGGTATGGTTACTGAGCTGCCCAAGTTTGGGGTAACCAGCAGGTGTTGCTGCGGGATAAACTTATTTGGGATTCATATATATATATATATATATCTTATTTGGGTAATTGGGTAGGTTAGAATATAGATTGTTTCTATAATTTGATGTAATTATATATGAGGTTATACTATGGATAATTGAGTGGTATATGGTCATGAATGGTTTGTGAATGGTAGGTAAACAATGGAAATCTGATTGGGACTCAGTATGATAATCGTATAGATGATAAACCGATTGATGGGTATATGGTGATACTATGAGCCACATAAGAATTAGCAAAAAATGGGGATCATCAGCCTGAAATTGGAGCCCATTTTGTCAGAGTCAAGGGGGATTTAAAAAGTGAGCAGCAATTGGATTTGAATAGCTGCAGGAAATGTGAACCTTGATCCTCAGTTGAGCCATAAGAATTGGTAGCAGAACGACAGAGAACGACAATCAATGTTGGGAAACAACTTTTTTCTTGGTAAACTGATCGTTTAGTGTCATGAAAGACATTCAGCAGTGGCAATTGGAAAATACATGAAAATACTAGTACTATATACATACTGTTCATACTGTGATCGCACATATAATATATATATATATTATATACAAATAATATCAGTCATTCTGGGAGTGTTCGGAGATGTGGCACGTGCAAACTGTGAGTTGTCCTCGGCTGAAAAAAACGGTTTCCCTGGCAAACGCGCCTCGCTGGCAAACACTTTTCTCCAACTCCAAAATGGGGATTCAACTTGTTAAGTTGGTAAGCATTACTGACATATCAACTAGTTATAAGCCGGTTGTATCAATGGGAGATCTCCAGGATCCAACACATGGAGGTACGTTAGTACCATAGTTTAGGCCATATTTTGTGGTGATATTCCCGTACATAGGCCTCAAAGATAGGCCTTATATATGGAATCGGTACTCCAATCGTTTTCGGTTCCTGGCCAGCATGGCCATTGATTGTAAGTGTTTTTGTGCACCACATTGTACCAGTCAGTGAAGTCACGGGGGTCACGTTTTTGAAATTTGCTGCGCTCACTTTAGGGTATGAAAATTCTATCGGTAAAACGTCTCACATTCGTGATTTAACATATACCAGACATATATTTGAGGTGTATTAGACGCATGTCTTACATTAGTATGTGAACAAAAAATAACCAAAGCATCTAATTACCCGTTTGATCGCTGACATGCATGTTGAGCATAGGTCCCTGAGGTGGATTCTGAAAATGGAAAATGAACCAACAACATAGTTCTCCTGTAGATATCCATATTTATCCCATGATTCCATCAAATATGGAACCATACTAATCCTAAACATTCCTAGGCAATCACATAGACAATATCACCACAATTATGGGATAATGATTTTCTGTTGTGCAATCTGCGCAATCATTCGGTGGAGCCCTCAGGGCATTGGATCAACTTAACTTGGTTCGTTCAACCTGGTAATGCCTAACATGAGGAAGGTGTTTAAATGGGATTTAACTGAGTAAACCTTGGAATTTAGGGGATTTTTCAGGAATTAACAAATGGACAAGCGGTGGTTTAAAACCAACCTCAATCCAATAATCCAAGCGTTTGCAAACTGGTCCCCTCGGGGATGATGCGTATACAATGTGGGGCCGCTACGTTGGTTAATAAATAACTCCACTTAATCATCCAATATCTATGGTTTGTTGTTAGATATATCTATAGCTACCATGGTTTATAAACCAACAAACATCACTGGGGGGGGGGCACCACCTTGCAGGGATGAGCTTTTGCAGGGATGAACTTAGCTGGAACCAACTTAGCTATCGTTGGGGGGACCCCGAAAAAACCCTCTCTGAGTACTCCATTGATTACTCCACCATATCCGATAGAGCAACCATCAGCACCCCCTCAAAAAAAAGAGGTGCCGATGACATTTCTGCTGAAATCCCTAAATCGCTGATGAATCGATGAAATCCCCTTGCTTGGTGATTAATAGCATGTTCATTTCTTTAGTTCTATAAATCCCTATGTTTCATTCTTTAATCCTCATGTTTTGAGTGTTCAATCTCAACTTTCGATGATCAAATCCACATTTTGATGTGCAAAATCATGGGTAAAATCAGCACTTTTGCACCTCTTTCATGGCCCACCACCAGCCCCTGTTTCGCTGAGGAAACACTTCGGGCAGCTCCGGCATCGCCAGTATCGCCTGCATGGCGGAAGAACACCAGGAAAACCGCGCAGCGGCGCCCCCGTGGCTGTCCATGACGTCGTTGTCGGCCGTGAATTGTGACAAGTCAAAATCCTGCAGATGCTGGGACCGTGGCGGGATGATGTTTTTTGGGTGGATTTTTGTTCGGATTTTCATGACGGTTCATGGCATTGAACATGTGTTAAAACAAACTTAAACTTAAACTATGAGATTTCACCAAGAGAAATGGAGATTATAGCAGGGTTATAGATCAATGTGTTATATTTGTAATCTATACCGAACTATAGATATAGATTGAAGTATATTGGGGATATATCGGGGAATACCCAGGGCTTATTGGGGCGGCCACATTGCAGTGATACTCCTTGGACGCTGAAGATGGCCATCATGTCAAACAACTTCAAGGCATGAATTAAGACTGTTGGAACACCCATTGATGTCTCCGGAAAAGAAAAAAAACATCTTCACCCAATGAATTTAGCCTGTGGACTTGTTTCAGATGGAAGCCTAACAAGACTATGTTTAGGAGGCAGGAACATCAATCTTCAAGACCAATTCATGGGTCAATGGACGAATGAGTGAATATGTTAGCCAAGAAACAATGGAATTTGTGCAATTGTGCAGGTCAATATGCAGAATAGAGGACATTCAATCAATGAAATTTCTGGGCTGGTGGGAGATAAGAAGGAAATAGAAATAGTCGGCATGGTTGCCTGTGAAAGCCCACTGTTCATTTGTCAATGCTCGGTGCTTGAATATTATGCATCCCACTTGGTATATGGCTGCAGTAGGAGTCATGTTTCGCTGACCTACAGGCCACTTATATATATATATAATAAACCCCACTGCGGGTCAAAGTTATACATATATGTGTATATCCTGTTGTCACGAATTACGAAGCTAAGGTGCATATCAAACATGTTCACGATGTCAAGCCCAGGATTCATCATCCAGAACGGTGACTCAGACTCAGATCTGATTCAACCTGCTACGCGCTACGACGTTTTCTGCGTGGATTGGAAAAGTAACTATCCCTTCACCGTATTTCCAGCATGCCGCTTGAAGCAATGGGAATTCTGCCGGTGTGATCAACTTGAGATTATCGCAACTGGTTGGTGTTTTTTGTTGCTTAATGTTTTTTCATGTTTACTTTGTTCTGTAAAGATGGGATGATAAACTTCAACATGGTTTTAAAATGTTTGAAACCACCAACTCAATGTCTTTGAAGAAATAGGGGCCTCTTGTGCCCTCGCTTGCTCGGGTCGCTTGGGAAGATCGGCGACGGGGTCCTGGACTCTGTGTGCAAACGTTCAACGTTATTGAACACATTTCAAGAGCTTGATCGCAAAAAAACATCAACATGAATCGTATCTTTGCCTGGATTATGATTCTGAATGATATTCTTTGATATTAGGTGTAGCAGTGCAGATTTACTGCTTTGGCTGATCTTCTGAAACACGTATTGCGCAACAGGACCCATGCTGAAATTCAATTTTCCACCATTTTCCTGGCATCAGATCGCAAGTTGGGTCCGCCAGATGCGCAAGATGCAGCCACAGTTTTGGCCATTGGGATTTAATGGTCGTGATTTTAATGGTGATTTTAAGGCATTTTATGGGATTTAATGGGGTTATACATTCCATGTTTATGAGGTTATTTCGGGGACAAACATAACTGGTATTTCGGGCCGTCCAATGTACCTTTTGTTTGGGGATTTTGGGGATGTTGTTTGAGCAAAAAACACAGTAAATGAGAAAACAAGCAATAGTTATAACTTACAACCAGTTATGGCCCTTTAACTGTACCTATCCTGGTATTTCCGGCCATAACTGCAGGCAATGGGAAAGGCTCTTGCGGCCTCAATGTGAAGACGACCAATGCCGGTGGCGGACGCAATCACCAAGTCTTTGGTGTGCGGGGACCCAGGGGAAATAAAACAATAAAAAAGCACTGTCCCCCTAAAACATGTCAAGTTGTGGTTGTGGTTGTGGTTGTTGTGGTTTGTGTTGGTTGTTGTTGTTGTTGTTGTTGTTGTTGTTGTCGTCGTCGTCGTCGTCGTCGTCGTCGTGGTGGTTGTTGTTGTTGTTGTTGTTGTTGTTGTTGTTGTTGTTGTTGTTGTTGTTGTTGTTGTTGTTGTTGTTGTTGTTGTTGTTGTTGTTGTTATGGTGTTTGTTGTTTGTTGTTTGTTGTTGGTGTTGTTGTTGTTGTTGTGGTTGTTGATGTTGTTGTTGTTGTTGGTGTTGTTGTTGTTGTTGTTGTTGTTGTTGTTGTTGTTGTTGTTGTTGTTGTTGTTGTTGTTGTTGTTGTTGTTGTTGTTGTTGTTGTTGTTGTTGTTGTTGTTGGTTGTTGTTGTTGTTGGTTGTTGTTGTTGTTGTTGTTGTTGTTGTTGTTGTTGTTGTTGTTGTTGTTGTTGTTGTTGTTGTTGTTGTTGTTGTTGGTTGTTGGTTGTTGGTTGTTGTTGTTGTTGTTGTTGTTGGTTGTTGTTGTTGTTGTTGGTTGTTGGTTGTTGTTGTTGTTGTTGTTGTTGTTGTTGGTCGTTGTTGTTGTTGGTGGTGTTGTTGTTGGTTGTTGGTGTTGGTGTTTGGTGTTGTTGTTGTTGTGGTGGTGGTGGTGTTGGTGTTGGTGTTGGTGTTGTTGTTGTTGTTGTTGGTGGTGTTGTTGTTGTTGTTGGTGGTGTTGGTGTTGGTGTTGGTGTTGGTGTTGTTGCTGATTCTGGTTCTGCTGCTTCTGCTGTTTCAATCATCTTGCCAAATGTATGGTATGCAAATGTACCTACATTTGCCAAACCCAACTAAAAATGACCAAACAAATGGCAAGATGTATAATATACATAGAGTATGGGTCAGTCTAGAAGACCCGTTGGGTTCGCAGTTAACCAACAATGCATGCAATGTATAGCAGCCATGCATAGCCAATGTCTGACTCTCTATGGTGGAGGAACAAATGACTCCACATTACAACCTCCTTCAGTTATGGCCCGAATTATACCAACTCTAAATGGTTATTGAAATGGTTATTTCTGTGGGATTATACATTCTATAAATGGGGTTATTTCAGTGACTTATGTATATATATATATATAGTTATATATATATATACATCTATGTAACTGGTATTTCGGGCCATAACTGTTTGTGTTTTTCGGGCCACAGAAACTTGTCAGTTTCAAAAGCACATGATCAACGGGCACCATGACAAGGATACCCTAGGGCAAGCTTATTTGGGAAAATAATGATTCGCCGCCACTGAACTTTAGTGTATCCTATGTTCAGACCCATTCACACAAGGCATCTGATGGCCCATTTTGCCAGCTGCCAACCAAAGGATTTGATTGAAAAACGTGCATGACATGGGATAGCAGAGCGGAATTTTGCAGCAAAACCAAAGGACATTATGTAACTGCTGAGGAATACAAACTTTGTCAGGTGTCTTTAATCACCTATCTCAATATTCACCTATCATTCTTGAGAACTGCATCTATATATATATATATATCTGGGTAAATTATAACGACCTCACTGTTCTCCCGAACCCTGGAATCATGGTTAATAAGGGAAATCATCCCCAAATGGCCGCAAGATTCAGGGTAGTGAATTATTATAATTTACCCATATATATATATATATATAAATATATGTATATATATAAATATATATATATATTTAAATATATATATATAAATAAATCGTTTTGATACCATGTTTCCTTTTTTTATTTGGCAAATACAATTTTTGTGTTGCTGGGAAAAACAACTCCTTAAGCAAGCACACAAAACCAACATCCGGGTCGAAATTTGGGTTTTTTTCGGGGGGTAAACCCCCAATCGGGCCATGGCCAGGTGGAAGATTTCATGTGCGTCTTGCTGTTGCTGGCATACATCGGCTGGAGCTATGTTTCTCGGCAGGTCGAAGACGTGGCAGGTCGTCGATCATCCCTCCGGCATTGGTGACGAGATTGTTTGGATGACGTTTGAAACACTTAATAGATACAGTGGTTGGTGGTTTGGAACATGGCCATGGAAAATCCCTTATAAATGGAAGTTTATAGCTGGGAAAAACATCTATAGTTATATAATTATCTGGTTGGTGGTTTGGAACATGAATTTTATTTTTCCATATATTGGGAATGATAATGCCAAGAGACGAACTCATATTTTTCAGAGGGGTAGGTATACAACCAACCAGATACACTTTGGCCAGAAGTACAGCAGGTTTATTGAGGGGGTGTTTATGAAGACTTTGTGAAGCAACATCGAACAAGTGTTTATGACTCTTTTTGATTTGCAAAACAGGTCAACATCCAAGCGACCAATCACTTGATCACTTAAAAGTGATCAGGGCTCAGCTAAGCCTACAGCCAACCTGCAATTGGTTGTTCCATGATGTTCCGGCAAACCATAGCAATTTATGATAAACCAGGAAAAACCATAGCACTGGGCCATCTACTGTACAGTAAACCATCACAAATTATATCTGCTTGGTGGTTTGGAACATTTTTTCCATATATTGGGAATGTCATCATCCCAAGTGACGAACTCCATCATTTTTCAAAAGGGTAGCTATACCACCAACCAGTCATTACTATTAACCATCATTAACCATATAATAACCATGGTAATAACCATGATTAACAGTATATTAACCAATTTATATAGAAAACTATGATAAACTATGCTATACCGTAGATGGCCCATGTTCTTCGATGATGTACCTCTTGAAACGGGTCGATAAAAACTGGTCGCGATTTTTGTGGCCGATCATCCTGTGTCACCTTCGGTGATTTGAAAAGGGGTACCGAAGTCAATGACTTCAGGAAAGCTCCATTTGAAAATGGGGGGGTTCCTGAAAATGGGGGATCCTGGATCCTAAAACACCATGGATGACCATGGCTATTAGTGAAATAACTGGGTATGAATCACCGGGATTATACATTCTATAAATGGGGTGACTTGTTAGTAGTTATAACTGGTATTTCTGGCCATAACTGTGGGTTTTGATATTAAAATGGTCAAATTTAGGATGATTTAGGGCTACATCCATGACTTGGAAAGCCCACATGACTATTGGTTCAACATTGAAATCATCGCCAAGTGATCCCAGTTGTATCTGATGTCCCACTACAAAGGTTGCCCTCTCACTACCACCATTTTTTCCTCATGAAAAATCACTGTATTTTTACATGAAATCCCCAGAAATCCTCATGCAATTCCCACTCAATCCAGCTAAATCCTATATATTTCCCTGATATCCTGATTGTCCCTTTCTTAGAATCTCTTAACATCATATGTTATATATTCCCTGTGTAACTCCTATATTGCCCACCAAAAAAAACATGCTCCGGCGAGACTTCCTCCGTTCCAAGCAGCACACAACGAGGTCTTCGAAAAGTGTCACGTCCTCCACGAGACGGGTGCGGCGGTGCTGGTTGGCCTGGTCGCGGGATATATGATGCAGATCTTCTACGGCAGAGCGGCATCATTTAGCTATGAGACTCGCCAGATTGGTTGGTGGTTTGGAACATGGCTTTGATTTTTTTTCCATGGTTGGGAATGGAATGGCATCATCCCAACATATCCCAACTGACGAATATCTGTTTTTGAGAGGGGTAGGCTCAACCAGCAACCAGCACTGCAGGAGATGTTCAGCTACATCCTTCTTCCGATGGTCATCTTCGCCGCGGGCTTCAACCTGGATAAGCATCGCTTCTTTCGTTTCGGTGGCTACATTGCTGCTTTGGGAATCACTGGCACAGTTGCTTGATCTGCGCGCCTTGGGATGGCAAGAGTTGCTAAACATAACTGAAACCGATGGTTTAGGACGTTTTTTAAGATTGTGATTTAATGAGATTTAATGGTATTATTGAATGCTTTTGAGTATTGAATCGTATATACACCATTGAACAGCCAATGTGATCCGTTCTCCCGTTCATATTGAACAACCCCCAACCGAAACCGTGCGCAGACAATAACGACACGACACCGAAGGGTATACTAATTTTTAGTGGGTGGTGGTTTGGAACATTTTTTATTTTTCCATATATTGGGAATAATCATCCCAAGTGACTTTCATGTTTTTCAGAGGGGTTGACACCACCAACCAGTAATATTTACCATAGGCATTCATAAATCACATATAACCTGTAAGCAAATAGACCGTTGCCAGGGGGGGTTCCACCCTGTTCCAGCCCGGGTCCGTCCTGAACTGCCGGGTTGGCGAAAAGAGATGAGATTCGACCGAAGCCCATGCATGGCAATCTGAAATGGGAAAACTAGGGGAAAATCAATGAACATCTGGGAAGCATATGGAAACATATAGGAAAATCGTGAAGCTGGTTGGTGGTTTGGAACATGAATTTTATTTTTCCATTCAGTTGGGAATAATCATCCCAACTGACTAATACTTTTCAGAGGGCTTGAAACCACCAACCAGGGAGGATTCATAGTGGAATTAAGAGTCTAAAATCCCATGATAATGGTGATTAATGGTGACGAATAGTGGTTAATGATCAATGGTGGTCAATAGTGCCTAATTGTGATTATACACCAACAGATTTACAGTTATGGCCATGGCTATTAGTTACAACTGGTATGGGATTAGAACACATATACATGGGGTTATAAGATGTTATAAGTACTTATAACTGGTATTTCGGGCCATAGCTGCATGATGATGCACCAACACATTTACCATGGGATTTGCTGAGTCAATTCGATAAATTTGCATTTATTTCCCCAATCGGAAATCCACTGTGGAAGCGATGTGATGGGAATGTGTTTTTAATTTTTATTTTTTTGGAGTCTCCCAAGATGAGAAAATTCATGGAACAATCCAAACTTCAACGATTTGCCAGTGTACAGACGAAGTGCCGAAGTGCTGTGGCTATGAAATTTGACCCAGAGGCCATTAAAAGTTGTTCTCATTTTGGGACTAGACATTGATTCCAGTACGCGTCAAATCAAGGATCGCAGTATCGATTTACTATCCTGTAATGCAAGGTTGTGCCTTCCAGTCTTAAGTTTGAACATAAACTCTGTGTAATTATATATGGCAGTGTGTCAAAACCTTGTACCCCTGGTGAACATCAAAATAGCTGGTAAATGGATGTTCATCCCCCTAAAAATGGTATTAATAGGTATTGATCCATAGCAATATATATAATTATTTATATATATATATGCAGTATGTGGATACTTTGACCATCTTTTACCCGTTAATTTCTACCATGGTAACCATCACAGTTGTTGACCTGTTTTTTTTTGTTTTGCCAAGTGGCTATGGATCAATACCTATACATACCATTTTTAGGGGGATGAACATCCATTTACCAGCTATTTTGATGTTCACCAGGGGGATAGGGTTTTGACCCATCCCCAAATGCACGATCTAAGGTTTTAATCTTCCTCTTGATCTTCTTTGGTTCAGAATTCTTTACGATTCGTCCGTCTTTGAGACGCAGATTTGGTGATGGTTGTGACGAGGGCTGAGATTTGCACGTGTCGTTGTTGTTTGGAAGACCAATCAATACAAGGTAGGGACCCCTAGATAGCTAAGTTGATGAAGATAACTCCACTAGCCATGGGATATTATAGTAGATATAACTACGTATAGTTACTGGGGGTTCATAGGCACACAAACAGTTTCGGTTTGGGGACCCACCTTGGGACATGCTGGTCAACCAAGCTGGGCATGAGAGTATCATCACCACCCTTTGGGGTTTCCTGAAATGGGGATATCCCAAAATGGATGGTTTAGAATAGAAAATACAGGGACTACCACTATTTAAGGAAACCTCCACATGTATATACATGTATATTATATTGAAACAAACAATGGGCAAGAATTCAAGCAGCTCATTGTCATGTGATACATGCTGTGTGTGTGTCACGGGCCGTCACAGGGCGGCAATTTTTTTGGCTCGGCTCAAGTACCATAGTCATCAGTGAGCTACTGAGAGACCCGACCACATGGAGAATGACAATTTTGTGATGGGTAACTTGGGTAACTAATTCATTGATAAATGTTTCATTTGCCATAGCTATACCCACAGGATCCATGTATGTTATATATGCTAACATGTGGGGTATATTGATTCATTGATGGTAAATGTTACCATATATAGCATACATGGATCCTATGGGATATGTTAAATGACCAGAAGGTACTGTTTTTGGCTTTCTGTTGGTTTGACAGGACTAAACCATGTTCTTCAACCTTCCACTTCTGCCGAGGTCAAATGGTACTCCGTTTCAACTGCCAGCCCAGAGTCGTTGCTCAGCAAAAATGTGAAGGTTTCCTAGGTGTCATGGGGTAGCCCAAAATCATCCAAGTCCTTACAGTTTGGCCCTTTACCAACTATAAATGGATAAATGGTTATAGATGGTTATAGATATGGGATTATACATTCTTTAAATGGGGTGACTTAGTGACTTATAAATGGTAAAGGGCCATAACTGTAGATCATCAATGAGTATTGAAACCCATGGTTGTGGGGATCCCCCATTTTGAAATACCTCTATTTTAATGTGTCCATGGAATTTCTAGGGACCCCCTGGGTTGATAGGACCCCGCATTCCCATAATCTTCCCAGACGGAATGGGGGTCCCATCATTGGGGGTCCCTTGAAAATCCATTATATAAATTTAATGTTGTGCAAATGATGCTTTCTTTTTGACCAACATGAAAGTGATCAACATGATCAAGGACATGTGATCCTGCAAGTATGTTTCCTACCAGAGATGCATGGCATACTTAAAAAGGTTGCCACATTATTCTTGCTTGTTCAAGTATCTTGTTGTGAGGTGCATGAGCACCCTCCTTTCGTCCGTTTGGCATTGGGGGCACAAAAGGGATGGGGCCCCAAAGATAGCGTTCAGTTGAGATATAAGTGGCTAGTAGATATAACTTTATAGTTAATGGGATTCATAGACCAACTTATAGCTGGGGGGGACCATCCTGTACCAGTCGTGGACGTTTTTCACATGTGTTTTTCTCAGGTTTGGTTTTAGCTTCCGTCTTGGCCTCCACTGATACTGTTGCAGCTTGGTCGAGATAGAACAGTTCCAGTCTTGTGGCAACCCGTCATAAAGCTAGCATGACGGCGATGGTAAACATAGCACCCTTAAAAAACGATGTTTTTTTGGGGTTTAAGTTTAAGACGGTTTAAGTGTATAAAATTGGGTTTACGACGGTGACATCCAGCTTCTTCACCCTCCATGGGAACAACCTGTGGATGTGGCGTTCTGGTGCGGGTCACCGTTGCAATCCAACATGGCTAAAATCTGCATCGCAGGTAGGGGGTTAGTGACTAAAGAGTAATCCCTACCCTATTTTTTTGTGGCGTATGAACCGCTAACTTATTAAGTAGAGATATAATGAGATAACCATAGATAACATTAGATAACCATTGTTAAAGAGTTATATCCCAACTTATGAGGTTGTGGCTTGGGGGTTCTACATGTGATACCCTCCAAAAAACCAGGGTATTTCTCATGGTCGACTAAGGCGCCAATGGCATTCATCACTGCCTCAGATTTCCCACAGCTGTACGCAGTCGTCTTTGGTGAAGGCGTTCTGAATGACGCGGCTCGATGCAGTTGCAGCCCAGGGCAGGTATTTCTATGGTACTTCTATGGGACCATCAGAAACCATAACTGGTATATGTTTCGGGCCACAACTGAAGCTTGAACCGCGGGAAAACACCCACCAGTTAGTGACTTTTGTGGGTTGCAATCGCATAAAACAGAACTATAGCTGGACTAGCCCAACTTCCTCTACTTCTTAAGGGGCTGTAATCCACGAAACGATGAAGCACCATGCTACGCCTACGCCTACGCTTTATGTGCCGCCGTCGATTGAAAGTGGCTGGTCATCCCAGTGGGAAAACGTTTACAGTTTGCGAACTTGAAAATGACCATAGAAATAGTGGATTTACCCATTAGAAATAGTGATTTTCCATAGTTATGTAAACGTTTACCAGAGGGTAACACAAACATCACTGGGTCATTTTACGCAACTAGCTAAATTAATTAAGAATACATATGGAAGATACGGTGGAGCTACAGCACGAACATAGGGGATCAAGACACAACGTTGGTGCCCCCTAAGTTGCTTTATAACTAGTTGAACGGTTTATAGCAGAAATATCAAGCTAGTCAACTGGTTATCCTAGTTATAAAATGTGGTTCTTTTCCATAGTCCAATAAACCATGTTTTTTTGATAGTTATAATATGTTATAATAGACCTATCTAAGTTGATTTATAACTAGTTAAAGGCGTTTATAAACCACCCAGAAGCCCTCGTTTTTGGGCCCCTCCTTTTAGGACGATCATTTCCACAGGTGGTTTCCATTTTGCTGAGTACCTCCGTGGAAGATGCAACGACCTTGCCACCCATGCGCCCTGGAATGCTCTGGACCTGCAGACGTGGTTTTTCGCTATGTAACGGTGTCAGACCAGCTGGGCAAATCCCCTAGAAATGGATAGAAATGGAGGAATGAAATGGAATGAATAGGTTTATAAAGAGAAGATCAGTGATTTCAAATGGTTGATTTTCCCTCTAGAAAAGTAGGATAATGTAGATTTTAATATGTTTTAATGAGACATAGTGCTATAAAATTGTTTTTGTTTGGGGGGAAAGGGATCTGACCGTTGGACTGTGCCCTAGCTTCTGTTGGCCCTGGCTCCGCTGAAGGTGGCAACTGCTAGGTCGACTTTTGGTGGTTTTCAGCTGCTCCTCTGCCATGGGAATCTCGGTAGATTGCCGTACACTGAGACTGTTGGAGTTTTTGAAGTTTTTGTTTGATTCCCTATGGATCCAAACACTGTCTGAGAAGGTACTTAAGCCTCCAAATTGTCAATTGTAGTAAATTATATTCCAAACACTTCCTAAGAAGGTACTTGGATCCATAGGGATTATCTTCCAGATTGAATTATTCACTCTTCATGTTTGATCTTGGAATGTAAGATTTCAAAGGCCGGACACTTTTCCGCGTCACTTTTTAAAACGCTCTGTTTCTGTCAGCGCCTTTTTCCGTCAGGAATTGCCTTCGGTTTATCCATCTCCCTGCTCTTCAAGCGTGCGGCCCGTCGTAAACATGCCCCATTCCATGGCCAATGATTGGAATCCCAGCCAGGTCTAGCCATGGTGTCGTTGGTGGATCCCTGGGGGACTCGCATGGATTTTTTTTCGATCGCCACGGGCATTGGGAGACTCCCTGAGACCTTGAGAATGAGATCAACTAGTAATTCTTCAATGAGAATGCGACCAGCAAAAAAAAAAACGATTCTGAGTAAACTTCAAACACTCTGTGGATCCAGCTTTTGAGGAAGGATATGGGGTATGATGCAGGTGGCCTTTTAGTACATTCTCAGGAATTAACCATAATTAACCTGGATCATCCTGGAACCATAGGCTATGCCATAGGCTCAGCTATGCTCAGCTGCTCACAGGCCAAAGTTTTGCACAAAGAAGTCTTGAAGCCTGTCGTGCTCCTATTGGGTTGCGACTATGCTTGCTACTCGACCTGGCCCTCAGCGTGACAACAGTGAAGCTGGCTCACCTTCAATTTTCTTGGCTATCATGGCATTATTGATATTGGACAATATTGGTTAATATACATAAAATAAATATTATATTGGATTGATATTGGATTATATTTCTATATATATATATATATCATTAGTATTATATTGGATGATATTGGTGACATGAAAAGAGTTAAATAACTCGTGTGCATATCCTAATGTTGTGTCAGCTGGGCATCCATCTTACAGTTCGGGCCCATTGATTGCATCGTTGAGGCTACATCCTGACTCTGCTCATGGTGAAAAGCATGGTTTCCTGTAGATTTTCCGATTTACCGATGGATTTTCCCATAGATTTTCCCATGAACTGATGTTTCCTATAGATTTTCCCATTTCCTGTAGATTTTCCTATAGATTTTCCCATTGGTTTTCCTATGAACTGAGGCTACATCCTGACTGAAGTCTGTGAGTTTTCCTCCATCTTCGCCCTTTTCGTCTCCTCAGTGCTCAGTGGACACTACGCCATGCACGGGATGTCCCTGGAAGCACAGAGCTTCGCCAGTGAGCCTTGGCTTCGTAGCATCAAAATGATGGGTAAATGGTCATGATACATACAATGTGAGGCCCCCAAGATATAAGTTGGTTTATAAGGCCCAGTAACTATAGTTATAAAATTATAAATACCATACACCATAGTTATTGGAGTTATAAACCAACTTAGCTATCTTGGGGGCCTCGCATTGTATGATTGATACAATTATAGTATATAGCCCATATGCTCCATGTATGGTATATTTACCTACACTTAGGTGATTTTGTTCGGGTAAATGTTGGTAAATATTCCAGCACCATGGAGCATATGGGTCGTACATATGTAATAATTATATTATATGTATTAGTATGTACCTACATCTTCCCCAGTGTGCATAATTTCTGCCTTTTGAGGGTGTTCTTCCTTTTGTGGTTAAAAGGAGGCTTTACCCGACCACGGGCGACTTTTGCGATTTAAAGTAATTAGGGCCACCTTTTTGATGGTGGCAGAAGTCTCTCCATGTATCTCAATGTTTTCTAGGCTAAATTTGCCAATCCAAAGATAATAAGGTAATCTTTTCACCAAATTCCCTCAGATCTATGGGTGAAACTGGGTTTACTTGTTTGAAAATCTTTGCCAAACTGCAAAGCAACCGTTTGACAACAAAACAGGGCCGTAGCACAGCCCACACTTTCTTGCCTGGAATGTATATATCCTTAGTTTCCCATATCTTTGATTTTGGGCTGTGGCCAATGTAGGGCATTAGGCCCAGGCATGGTCATTTCGATCTCTCCCGCAAGAATGGGAAAACTAGTTGGAATGCCTTTGAATTGGGTTTTGCTGTCTGGAAGTTTGTAACCCTCAAAAGAAAAAATGGAGCGGGCGACTTTTCCCGACCCAGCGGCGACTTTTCGCGACTTAAAGGCTACTTTACGCGACCAACTTTTGTTATGCATTATTTCCCGTTGGGGCCGGAGCATGTTCCAGTTGAAGCCCATCCAAGGCCAAATTCAAACATGTTTACTTGGTGGCCCATCCCACTTAGTAAGTGGGTTATAACCTCAGTTATAAGTGGATTAACCCTACTTATCCCATTTATAACTGGGCTTATAACCCACTTACTAAGTGGGATGGGCCACCAAGTATGCCAAAGCAAACTCTTGCAATTGCAACAAGCCGATGTGTGACAGCTGAGGATAGGCACATGAAAAAGTTTGGGTACAACTGAAACTCTACTGGGATAGCTTGGCTAAACCAAGAAATGCATTGGGATAGTTTGTACAAGCAAAGAAACGTGTTGGGATGATTATTGGTTGAATTTAAACCACTTAAACCAAGAAATGTGGTGGGATAGTTTTTGGCAAACCAAGACATATATGAAAATGTATCTAGGTAATTTGGGTAAATCAAAGCATGTCTAGTGGAGTAACTTATTTAGGGCAGTTTCGGTTTCATGATTTTCCGACAGGCGATTCTGAAGACAAAAGGCGATTCTGAAAAAATCGAGCAGAAATGTCTGCCTTTTAGTAAAAAAAAACAAGAAAACGCATACCTGGAAGATCCAGGTATATTTATATTTAAATTTGATTTACCTTCTGGTTATGACTAACATAGCCATGGAAAATCACCATGCTATTAATAGGTAAACCATCTATTTCTATGGGCCATCTATACCATGGCTATGTTAGTCATAACCAGAGGGTAGATCCGATGATTTTGTTCAACGGGACCACTGCGGAGCTGTATCGTTACCTTTCCACTCCACCGTTGGAAAATTCCCGTCGTTCAACGGAGGTCATGGGAAAGCATCGTTAACTAATGGGAAATTATCGTTAATTATATGCACATATTTAACTAATTTTAACTATATATATATTTAACAATAAATAACCATTTAACTATAGGACATTTAACTATATTTAACAATGGTTTAGATATATAGAACCCAGAATTGGATCATGAATGATGTATGGTAACTTAACGATATATGCAAATGTTTAACGATATATCGTTAAAGTTACCCAATGGGAACCAGTCGTTTTCCCATGCAACCGGGACACCCAGGGTGGGATCTGCAGCGTCACTGATGTCCTTTCCCCATTGGTTGGTTGATTAATAGAGGGGGTTGAAGAAACCCCTTTAACAACAGGTTTCTATGATGATAGATGGGATTAACCAGCTCCCGGCCCCTCTATTTTTACCAAAAGGACATTATTGGTTTAAACATACACATATTTTTACCATCTGTGTGAACCAGGTGGTAACTGACTGGTGTTTTACGTGGCTTCACTTCGAAAAGCTCAAACTGCCAGCTCAGCCAGTTGTTTTGTAGCTAACATGAGGTAAAACCAGCAAACTTGGTCATTCCTAAACATCTTTAAACATCAATATCCAAACATCCAAATGTTTGGACAAGTAATGTATCTATATAGGCTGCGAAGCAAAAAATGTACAAGCCGATTCATACCCCCAACCTGCAGGAGTTGGCAGAACTCATGGCGTACACCGCCGAGAGCATCGTCTTTGGCTATTTTGGCCTGACGGCCGTGGCCTATACTTCACAGGTGGCCGGAAAGCCTTTGAATGTTTCGGGAGGTGGGAGATATTGATGAGGTGTGAAGCTAATCAATGTTTGTTCATGTTAAGTTATGGTGAATTTATATGAATTTATGGTTATTATATTATATATATATGTTATTATATAATCTGAATTAATGTTCTGTTTGTTGGGGTTGGCTGTTTGTTTTTGGAGTTTTACAGTGTTTGATGTTGGAAACCTCAGGTCACGGAAACCTCGGGTGCCTAGCAGAACGGTCTGTTTCTGCGGGGGAAGTTGGCGTGTAATGGCGTGGACAACCGATATATCTGGGTAAATTATAACGACCTCACTGCGACCTCACTGGAATCATGGTTAATAAGGGAAATCATCCCCAAGTGGCCTTAATTCAAGTGAAATATTGTAATTTACCCAGATTTATACTTTGAGGAGCCTTTAAGGCAGTATATCGATGCAGAAAAGCTTGAAGGAGGAAACACACAAACATATCAAACATATAGTCAATGCAACCATTAATTAAACACTTTTGGATCAAACCCGAGTAGCATTTCAGATTTGGAGGTTTCCTAAACTGGGGGCTAGCTCAAATCATCCAAGTCACTAGACCATTTGAGTTGAAACCCATGGTGGCGATCCCCAATTTTCGTGGAAACCCCCATTTGACATTGACAAATAAAATGTGGATGCCTTGTCTTGATGCACTTGTGCAGGCAAATTCTGTGGGCTTTGAGTTCCGACTCATCTTTTACTACATCGTTTGCATCGTTTGTGCCCGCGTCGTGTCGATTTCTTTGTTGGCTTTGGCGATGCGACTGCTGAAATGTGGGCAGCAGCTGGCCACACGGCTGCGAACTTTTTGGCATACTTTGGCATACTGGATGTGCATCCCATTTACCCTCTGGTAAACTAACATAACTATGGAAAATCACCATTTTCAATGGGAAAATCCACTATAAATGGTCATTTTCAATAGCTATGTTAAATTACCAGAGGGTAGCAAGTGGAAAATTACTAAACTCCATAGTCATCTAAGTGGGTTTGTCTGAAGATGAGGAAGGCCTAAAATCCAATCGTTGATCATCATTTCCCCATAGATATGGCCATAATTTTCCAATGAATTCCGTATTTTCAGACATCACACCCAAACATCGGATTGTTGGTGATATCCAATCCCCATGTTATCACGGTTATAGTAATCTATGTTATCAGCATTTCACTAACCAAATTACACTGGCGAGGTTGAAAACACCTGCCAGATGATGAAAAAAAACACATCCAGTTTATACGATCGTTTCTAGGATCTTAGCTGTCTAAATCTATAGATCTAATCTAAGTCTAAACTAATCTAATCTAACATAATCTAACGATAATATCCATTAACTATAGATTTGTTTACTATAGCAATAAGGTAAACACAGGTAAACCCATCAACATCCATTAACTATATGATACTGCTTGGTGGTTTGGAACCATGGAATTTTATGACTTTCCAGAAACCGTTGGGAATGTCATCATCCCAACTGACTTTCACTCCATCATTTTTCAGAGGGGTAGGTATACCACCAACCAATATATATATATACAATGTGGAGGCCCCCAAGATATAAGTTGGTTTATAAGCCCTAGTAACTATAGTTATAAATACCATAAACCATAGTGAAATTGGAGTTATGTTCACCAACTTAGCTATCGAACGGGGGCCTCACATTGTATATTAATATTCACATATATTGTTTTTTCCATTATATAAACCATTCTAAACCCAACCCTATGGATCCAAGTACCTTCTTAGGAAGTGTTTGGAATATAGTTTACTACAATTTGGAGGCTTTTTTGTACCTTCTCAGACAGTGGCCATGGATCCATGGATCCCATCCTTGACCAGGCCTTGAGCCGCAAAGAGTTGTGTATGGTCTGCATGGCCGGCTGCATGCGTGGCACCATCGCCTATGCCCTGATCCTACGCGCCGTGCCGCCGGAGGATGAACAGAGCCATGTGGATCGGATTATGGTGACCACCGTGTGCCTTCGGTGAGAGGAAACCATGGATGTCTATGTTTTTTTTTAAATTTAAAAAAAAGGAAATGGGATGAAACATAGGTTATATTCTTTATTATATCATTATAAAACCTATATCAATGGTGATTATATAATATTTATTGATAATGGTTAATAAGCCATGACGGATCCTAACGGTGCTATATATGGTGTGCCATGGATCCCATCAATATACCCCAGTCATGTTAGCATATATATCAGCACCATGGATCCGTCATGGGATATGCGAACCATGGTGCTGGAATATGTTGCAACATTTACCCGAACAAAATCACCAAGTTTTGTGCAATGTGAGGCCCCCGTTCGATAGCTAAGTTGGTTTATAAGTCCAATTTCACTATGGTTTATGGTATTTATAACGAACTACTGTAGTTACTGGGACTTATAAACCAACGTTCACATCACTGGGGGGCCTCACATTGTAGATAAATATACCAGCACCATGGTTCGATGGAGAAACGAGGAGAAACCAACCAAGCCGTTTTGCGACTCGTTTTGCCAACGGGGCATGAAATATGTTGCGGAAAGGGAAAGAAAACATGGAACATGACTTTGATTTTTCCATAATATATGGGATTTATAGCCAACCATAGTAGGGATATTTGATGGGATATATGATATATATATATATAGATATATTACATATAGAGACTGGTTGGTGGTTTGGAACATGTTTGGAATTTCTCCAGAAACAGTTGGGAATGTCATCATCCCAACTGACGAACTCACTCCATGATTTTTCAGAGGGGTAGGCGGTAGGCTCAACCACCAACCAGCATAAAGCCCAGTGCAGGGGGACTCACCTTGTATTCCTGGGAAATCCTGGAACTCCATCGGCACCCGGCCTCAAACGTGGCTGAGACATGGTGGCCTAACCATGGAGGTTTATGGGAAAGTCGATCAACGGAGGAGTTTCCAGCGAGCCACGTTTGAGTACTGGAGGATATATCTACTTGGTGGCTCATCCCACTTAGTAAGTGAGTTATAACCCAAGTTATAAATGGGATAAGTAGGGTTAATCCACTTATAACTGGGGTTATAAATCACTTACTAAGTGGGATGAGCCACCAAGTAGATATGGCAACAGAATCGAAGTAAATTTCTGGAAAATCGCCTACAGTAATATTGAGCCATTTTTGTTGGGGTATGATTTTCATCACCAAAAGTGGTGAAAAACCGACCGTGACCCACCAAAATAGTGAGATTTATGATGGAAATCCAATTCCATGGATTGCTGGAATGGAATCACAAAAACTCCTGAAGTAGTTGAGACTCATTATCTTTTTTTGTTCCATGGGGCCATGGGGCAGAGGAATTCCTGGCAGTACTTTCAAATGCTGTTGAAGTATGTTTAGGTCGCTTCAACTGCTTAAACCATTCATTATTTTTTCGTGTGTGTTTTTGTCAACACATATACACCGGAATATACATCGATATTGATGTTTTTTTGTGTGATTTTCTGCGTACGTTTGGTGGTGCCCCCAGCTACGTTTGTTGGTTTATGATTATCCCTGGCTAGCCAAGTTGGTACAAGGTGGGGCCCAGAGTTATTAGTTTGCTTATAGCCCCCATCAACATCATTCACTATACGTACTTATATCTCCCATGAACCCTAGTTGCCCTAGTTCACCAAGTTATGGTTACGAACTCAGCTGTCTTAATCCCATGAAAATCACCCATGTTTCTTTGCTTGTAACATACCCATCTTTTTTTAACCGGGGAACGGAACCACCGTAGCGCCAATCACGCGTAGGTTGGGCATCGTGTTGGTGAACTGCTTGGTCTTTGGCGGCCTCTTTCCAGTCGTGACGCGGCGAGACATTGTTGGGGACGACTCTGGCAATCAAGAGGTACAATGTGGGGCCCCCCAGTGATGTTTGTTGGTTTATAAGCCCCAGTAACTAGTTCGTTACAAATGCCATAAACATCCATAAAGCATAGTTATTGGAGTTATTTGCACCAACTTAGCTATCGAACGGGGGCCTCAGATTGTATAAATGGGAAGTTCGTATAGGTTAACCCCTGGTGACTTGGGGATTCCCAATAAGACAGCCACTGGAGGATCATCTCAAGTCAGTAAGTCTGGTGAACAAGTGCCTTACAGTGAAATGGCTATGGCCCGTTATAAACCATTTTCAAGGGGAATTTCAGTACTTAAAACTGGTATTTTGGGCCATAACTGCAATCATAAATGGAAAGTTAATGGAATGTCAAATATGAATAGAATTCCCTTATTAATGGGGGTTTAATGCTAGTTTATTCTGGTCTTATATGGTTAAATCGGGGATAATCATGGGTTAATCGGAAATAGGTTTATATTTGGAGGATCACCCCACGGATCGTAACTAGAATAAAGGAGGGTCAGTTCGCCTAGTTGAAAATGGTACAGCTCGGGATCGCCAGGGTTACGTTCACCAGTTACTTACTGGGAGAATCCTCCAAGATATGGGATAAAACCTTTTTGGTTTGGCAACAGGATTATATGCTATCAAACATATACTTGGGCATCCGTGTTCTTTATGGGATATAATTACCAAACAAAAACATCTGTAAACCAAAGAAAAAGTGGTAATGATGTAATGGAGATGTTTCATGAGAACAACAATTTATTTGTGTATATATATATATTATATACTATAGATTTTACATATTGATCCAATGGAGAATCGACCAGAAAGACATAGGATACCCTCTGGTAATCCCAACAGTTTAACATAGAAAAAATGGCCATGCAGGATCATGGTAAATCATCTACAGTTTGTTGGTTTTCCATGACTATAATCTACAAAATATACAAGAGGGTATAAGAAAATCATCTAGGTTAAACCTTTGGGTAACTTTAGGGGTTTTAGATGGACATTCTCAACGATTACCTTCCTAAAATCTCAACGTCAATGACTAAGTGGAGGCATCATACCCGACAGCCGAAAAAAACTTAGCACCGCTGCTTGGTTGTTTTTGTTTTTGGTGACTAAGATATGCATGAAGGACAACAGTTGCCTTTTCGTAATAAGCACTGGTCAGTATGCAGCGTTATCATGCTAACTTCTCTGGTTGGTGGTTTGGAACATGTTTTATTTTTCCGTATATTGGGAATAATCATCCCAGCTGACTTTCATATTTGTTTTTATTTTCCAACCACCAATGAGTTCTCTGTTCATTCTTTTTATGACAAAGGTATCCTAAGAATTTCCCAGGTTCATTGACTAATTAGATCATACTACTTGGTGGCTCATCCCACTTAGTAAGTGGGTTATAACCCCAGTTATAAGTGGATTAACCCTACTTATCCCATTTATAACTGGGGTTATAACCCACTTACTAAGTGGGATGAGCCACCAAGTAAAGATGCTAATCATTTTTTTTAAATCCGGGTTTGGATCAATATTACAAACCCCAAAATGATCAAAATGTAGCTGGTTTATTTTGATTGATTGTAACCAATATAACCAATGTTGTGCTTTCCTTGTTAACCCCAAAATCATCCTACATATTTGTGTCAAGTATGAATGTGTCCAAAACGGATAATGCCAGAATTTATGACCATTAAACATCATTAAACACTTTTAAATCCATTAAACACGTTTTGTCACCATGTTGAGACTCTTGGGGATTGAACACCATTAAATCACTTTCCCAAGATTTTCCATTAAACACCATTTTGTCCATGTTTAATGGATTATCTTGGGAAAGTGATTTGGAAAAAATAAAAAAAAACAACACAGGAGACTCTTGGGGAATTTCTCCAGAGCCAGAAATCAGAAATCCCAGAACGACGATGCGACAGTCCGCCGGGAGCTCCGCCTTTGATCAGCTCGTGTTGAGCCTGGAACGATAGCTAAGTGAACCAGTCATATCTTGGGCCAACTCATGCTTATGGGACATATATAAACTATACATTGTTATATACCATGGAGTTTACGATACATTCAAGTTCAATGAAACACTTGATTAAGGACACACATGCTTGAGGTATAACCAAGATCTTCTGTGAACATGAACAGATGTATCCTGCAAAGTTGGGTCACCTAATCTTTCCAGTTTTGCTTGTTGGTTTGCAAACACCATTCCCATATGCTCTATGTATGGTATATTTACCTACACTTAGGTGATTTTTAGGGTAACTGTTGGTAAATATTCCATGCATGGAGCATATGGGATTATATAACTAGTTCGTTTTATCCCCTTGTTGAGCCTAACTAGCCAAGCTGTGCTTACCAACTTAGCTATCGTAAACGAGGGCTAGAGTTTGTGGTAAATGGTCAGATGTACAAAAAAATGTCGGACCAAATTCAACCATTATTATATATCCCATTCAAAGCAACCTAAATCCCATATCAATTCCATTTACGCCCATTAAATCACCACAGTTATGGCCCTTTTACCAAGGTTATAAGTACTTATAACCCCGTTTATGGAATGTATATAATCCCTTAGAAATAACCAGGTATAGCCGAGTATAACCATCATTATTCACTATGAACCACTATTATATAATCATTATTAATCACCATTAATCACCAGTTATAACTAATAGCCATGGCCATACTTATAGTTATAACCATCATTAATCACATGTTTAGCCATTACTAATCACCATTAATCACTGATAATGGCCATAACCATCATTAATCACTGCCATTGATCACTATAACCCCATAAAAATGCTTTATGTGTATGGATTATATATATATATATGGATGGGATCCATGTTACCACATATATAGCAGCACCGTTAGGATCCTATGGATACCATATATATATATATCAAAACCATAAAACCGGTTAATAGTGACTAATGAGAACCACTATTAACCACTATTAATCACCATTAACCACTATTAACCATAACTTTGCTTTTCGAACCGAGACCCCAAAAAACCGGACCGGAACAGGTGATGCGCTTCCTCCAGCTGGAACCGAGACCCCAAGGCTCGGAGTCGCCTGAGGCGGGCCGCGGTGGTTGTTCAAACGCGCAAAGGTGGAGCGAAGGTGGGAAGGTTTTTTAGGGGCCCCATGTTGGTTAGCCATGAAACATGTTGGTTTAACCATGAAAAATGCTGGTTTAACCATGAAAAATGTTGGTTTAACCATGAAAAATGCTGGTTTAACCATGAAAAATGTTGGTTTAACCATGAAAAATGCTGGTTCAATGGGATTTCACCAACAAAAATGATGGTTTTTAATGGGATATACCCTCTGGTAAACATACAAAAAGCTATTGAAAATGGCCATTGAAATAGTGGATTTTCCAATTATATAATAGCATGGTGATTTTCCATAGTTATGTTAGTTTACCAGAGGGTAAGTTGGTGAACATAACTCCAATATCTATGGTTTATGGTAGATATTTCTATAGTTACCATGGTTTAAACCAACTTATAACTGGGAGGCACCACCTTGTATAGGTATCTGTCGGTAATATTTTAAAGGGTTTAAGTACCTTCACTGGGTGATATGACAATTACATTTCATAAACATGATAATTATTGTCATGATATAATATGACATGGTGAACTAAATCCTTATCCATAATCATTAATTCTTATTGTATCTAATATTCCTTTAGATTAGCTTGAAATATCCATGGCTTTTCCCACTGGTCCGACTTTTTGTCGCCAGGGCAGTACCTTGAGCCGCCAACTGCGCCAAAGACTGGCGGGGCGATGGCAGCGCTTCGATGAGAGCTACTTGATGCCACTCTTCCGCGTCTCGGATGATCCCATGGCGGGCCGAGATTTTCCTACGGGACGACAACCTAAGCCCCCAAAAAAGATGGGTTGTTTAAGCTGAAAATACCCCGAAATTCATAAAGCCTAGTCTAGTCATGTTTTTTTTTGTAGTTTCTAGGTTTCTAGTTGGTGGTTCATCTCAGTGGGTTCTAAGTTATAAGATGTAATAAGCCCAGTGAATTCAGTAAGTTGAGGCAATGTCCAGTTGTGATTGGGGTGAACTGACCCACTTACAAACGGGGATGAGCCACCAAGTACTTTTAACCAACATTACAACAACATAGGGGATATAGTGGGATATCATGGGATATAGTTGGATATCTCCTCGTTCTCGATTTAATGGGATAGTCCAAGCATAATAATGAAGGAAAATGGGGTAATGATGGGATGATAATGGAATTATTAGCTGATATACAGTCAGTATATATATATATATGTATAGATATATATATATATATGTATATATATTATATGTATGCATATATACGGGTTTGTTTTGTTGGTGATTCCGCGGATCGTGAGTGTTTAATGACCAGAAATTATAAGCAGCTTGGGGAATCTGCACTGGCAGCGACGGTGATTTTCCACATGGGATTTCCGCCGTTGCAAAAATGGCGACTCTATGGGGGTTTTACGCAACAACCATGGCGACTTAATGGGATTTAAGCAACAACTAATGGTGATTCAATGGTGATTTACCATCTGGTTATTTAACATAGCCATGGAAAATCCCTTATAAATGGAGGTTTGAATGGGAAAATCATCTATAAATAGGCCATTTTCCATGGCTATGTTAAATAACCAGAGAGTAATGATAATTTTATGGGATTTAGTGGGTAAACAAATAAGAACACAATGGCAAACAAATGACACCACCAACCAGGAATGAAAAAGCTAATGTCGAAACCACATGACAAACAAATGAACAAACACATAGCAACCCTCAGTGCTTGTTGGTAAGATTTCATAACCCTAAATAGATTGAAAACCTAGACAATTTGTGAAGCCTTTTTACATAATCGCATAATAGCAACCATCATCCTGTACACACTTTTTGGCACAGATCACCAAAGGGGGGTTCCTACAATGTGAGGCCCCCAAGATATAAGTTGGTTTAGATTCGCCCCATTAACTAGTTCGTTATAAATACCATAACCCATAGTGAAATTGGAGTTATTTGCACCGACTTAGCTATCGAACGGGGGCCTCACATTGTATAGAACAATGTTTTTGTTCCAAGAATCACCATCCAAACTCCGCGCCAGGTCCCGGTTGGCAGCGAAACGTGTCCGAAACGTCGTCCCTGCCAAGCCTTTCCGTCGACGGACCGGGCCACGTGGGTCTGGAACGTTTCCATCGCAGCGACGGTGCTCCCCAGTGATTCCCAGCCTCGATCTATGGGTATTTTATGAGGCTTTCCGGTTTTGGTCATGGGGCGTACCCGGAGAGCTATGTTAAGCACCACAGTAAAAAAAACCCTTGACCACTTATAAGCCAATTGTAGGCCACAAAAACGTTTATGATAGCCCCATAGAAATAAGCATTTACTGTTTACCATAAACCCTGGATGGCCGTGAATCCGCACTAAAGGGGGCACCACTTCTCTTTTGACCTCTAACCGTTGGTGGTTGGGATGAGCAAGTGACTCGTAGGACCATACGTTACATGTATATGTTTTCAATTGTATATATATATATATATACATACAATCATATACATGCATTATACGCATATCTAATATGATATGATTATATATATATCATTAAATTCAGATATACAATATATACACATGGACATACATTATATATACGTGCATACATATACACACTGTGTACCACATATACTTAGCTGCAACAGGGTAACTCAGTCAGCAAATGTCAATGCGCAGAATTTCACATCAGCAATGCTGTAGTTGGTCCATTGATTTAAAATACCATGATTCTTTAGTGATTTAACATGACTATGCACCATTGCCATTTACATCAGTGATTTACCTTAAAAACAAAAAAACAACAATAGCTAGTGTTGTTTTATTAAGCTAGCCTCGACAGAACAGTTCATGACTCTCTCTCTCTCTCTCTCATCAATTGTAGCTAGAATATCACTTGGAATTTATAGGGACCCCCAATGATGGGACCCCCATTCCCATAATCTTCCCCAGTCCCATTGAGAGGTTTCTTATGGGAGTAGTATGGGAACGGGTCCCATCATTGGGGGCCCCTAGGCCCCTATAAATTTCACTACTTGAGGGGGATGATCATATACATATATATATACATGTATGTATGTATGTATTATATATTTGCTGGCTACTTTGGTGTCATCCCAACCAGTGGTTGCTTTTCGAAGATTCCTCGAAAGATCTTTGCCAAGTTGTGGCTTGCACATCCTGGCGTTTAGCGCGAAAAGATGTGTCGGGAGTCGGGAAGAAGGGTGAACTTTTGCATCACCATAGCATCTCCCTAAAATGATGGTGAGGGTTGCGGGACCTCCAAAACAAATACCCTCTGGTAAACATACAAAAAGCTATTGAACATGGCCATAGAAATAGTGAATTTACCCATTAAACATGGTGATTTTCCATAGCTATGTTAGTTTAGCAGAGGGTATGTTTCTTTCAAGCTGGTGGATTTTCCTAACCCTGCCACTACTTGTGGGTTGGAAGACACGTTTTGCCCATGCAAAGTTTGGCCTTCCTTACAGCGTGGAGCTGTGCCTGTGGGTGGCTCATTTCCGTATACCGTACAACTTGTGTCAAGCCACAGTTATGGCCATTTATTAGTTATAACATGTTATAACTGGTTATATATATATATATTATAAATGGGATTATACATTCCATAAATGGGGTTATAAGTGACTTACAACTGGTACAGGACCATAACTGCATAGATGGATACACCAAATACAACAACTTACCGGTGATTTCGACAAGCCATATTAATCCATATAGGCTATGACGCCTGTTTTGTTGACTATGGTGACTTATCTTGGGGTGATGGGAGTTGCCACTAACGTGGCCTTTTGTTGCAGCATGCGGGGATACTCTCAGAAATCTTTGGGGGATACAAACAACTGTGAATAATGTGGTAAACGCAATGCCATGAAGCTATCATTTGGGGATGGTAAACGTAGCACCCATAAGAACGCCGATTGTTTTTTGTTTTTTTAATGGATTTACCGGTTTACCACATTAGGAATTGTCTAGATCTGTTCTACGCCCTGGTAAACTAACATGACCATTAAAGATCACCATGTTTATATAATGGGTAAATATTAAATCAATTCCTGTAAACTATAAATAAATGGCTATTTTCAATAGCAAACTGTTAGTTTACCAGAGGTATCCCAGATGGACTGTCACATGGACCAAGATCGACCACCAGGCGGTTGGTGCGCCTGTGCCTGTGGCCAGTTCCACCACTCAGCAGGGTAACTGGGGGATGTCAGCGTTGTACTTAGATGGGCCTAGATTTGCTACCCGCTACCCTCTGGTAATTTTTGACATAGCTATTGAACATGGCTGGTTTATAGTTGATTTACCTATTACAACTGATGATTGTTGATGGCTATGTTAGTTTACCGGAGGGTAAGTGGTTAGTAACTGGGTTCTAAACCATTACATCCCAGTTATAATCCATATACTGACTCATTAACTAACGGCCCTTTCAAGCAGGGGTCATGAAATGAATGTTGCTAAATATCATTTGAGTGAATCCCCTCCCCCAAAAAATCACGTAGACACTGAACATTTTGAAGTTTCAATGGAAACTAATCGTCCAGTCCAACCCGCTATATTTTGCAGGGTAACGCTTGAAACTTGAAACAAAGACATTTGATGTTTGATGTGGAAGTTATTTTGACAATGGCGACAGTTTGATTTTAAAACCAACAAAGAATTTGACACGGTGACACTATGTTCAACGGGGAGGGGATATACGCAATTTCGCGAGGATGTGCCAAATAAATGTCTTGTCGTTAGGTCCAAAACAATTGACCAGAGGTTCATGGGATCTAAATGGGGCGCATACCATGCCCTACGGGCCCCACAACTATCATAGAGCCTGAGAACAGCTCATTTCCTGTAGAAAGCAGCCTTCCATTCTTTCCATTCTGCTATGTGTCCACTTGGTAGGGTCTATGTTGGGTGGAGTTGCCGCAAAACATCCACTTCCCAACTGGCACTCAGGTGTGATCACGAGATTGCCAACGTGTGATATGTCGTATGTTTTGATGGTGAAATCCTAATGTGTGATGACCATGGCTATTAGTGAAATAACTGGTTATGAATCACTGGGATGATGACACAAACCATAAATGGGGTTATAAGTAGTTATAACTGGTTATTTCAATGGGATTATACATAAACCATAAATGGGGTGACTTGTTAGTAGTTATAGCTGGTATGACTCGGGCCATAAGTGTAATGTGTGATGATTGATTCCCCCCATTCTGGCTAAATCTCCATGAAATCCATGGAACAAAAATCAGGAAAAGTCCCACCTGACAAAATATCTCCAAATGTCAGGAAATCAACACCTAGATTTTGTCAAGGTGCTGGAAAACATCGTAAAATGATATAGAATGATGGTTAAATGATGGTAAAATGATACAAAATGATGGTAAAATGATATAAAATGATGGTAAAATCCCATCTTCATGGAATATTCATGGTTAAAATCCAGTGATGTGGGTAAAACAATCACAATAATTCCCCAGTCATCACCATAAATTGGCTTTTAACCATTCGTCTATGGCATTGTTTTACCCACATTAATGATCTTATGGTGGTTCATAGTGACTAATGATGACGGATAATTATTTTTCTTAGATATAGCTGATGGCTATAGTGGATTTAACATGATCCCATAACTCGTACAGGATGGGCCTTCCCAGTTATAAGTTGGTTTATAAACCATTATATAGCCCATAGGATCCATGTATGCTATATATGGTAACATTTACCATCAATATACCCCAAATGTTAGCATATATACCATACATGGATCCTATGGGTAGTTATATCTACCATAAACCATAGAATTCGGCCACTTTTTTCAAAAGCAACTGAGTAAGCTATCGACTGGGGGCCCATCATCATAGATGTCCTTTTCCCATTGGTTGGTTGATGAAAAAGAGGGGTTTCTTCAGAAACCCCTTTAACAAGTAAATGATGATCGATGGGATTAACCAGCTCCCGGCTCTATTTTTACCACAAGGACATTATTGCCATCAATCCTATGGTGACTCCGCTCAGGTCCCACGAGGACACGCTTTCAGGAGCTCTATGCTGCGACAGCGCCTCGGCGTCCACGCCATTTTGGATGGTAAGCCGGAAACGGAAAAAGGGGTGGTTGAAGAGTGGTGATTTAATGGTGATTTAATGGTGATTAATGGTGATTAATGGTGATTTAATGGTGATTTAATGGTGATTGATGGTGATTAATGGTGATTTAATGGTGATTTAATGGTGATTTAATGGTGATTAATGGTGATTAATGGTGATTTAATGGTGATTTAATGGTGATTTGGTTATAATTTGTCATTTCTATAGTGATTAATTGTGATCAATAGTGGTTAAGAATGGTGATTTTAGTGGCTAAATAAATGTGATGAATGATGGTTAGAACTTATGTTATAACTGGTGTATTCCTACAGTTCTGGCCCGAGTCATACCAGTTATACGTATTGAAACAACCCCATTTATAGAATGTATAATCCCATTGAAATAACCAGTTATAACTAATAGCCATGGCCATAACTGATAGCCATGGCCATAACTGATGAGTAAATGGAAATCTCCACAACATGGGATTATCATGGATGAATAGTGGTTAATAACGGTTCATAAGGGAAACTTTATGGGATACCCTCCGGTAAACTGACATAACTATTGAACATCACCATTTTTATTGGTAATTCAACTATAAATGGCAATTTTCAATAGCTATGTTAATTTACCAGAGGGTATCTTATGGGATATTTAATGGGATACCCTCCGGAGTCATCAAACGTGGCTAGCTGGAAAATCCCCGAAATGGAAGTTTATAGCCTGGAGAACTATCAAACTAAATGGAGGATTTTCCAGCAAGCCACGTCTCATGACCGGATCGTACGGAACACATGTAGTCGAGGATAGGTTTAATCTGGCAATTGTATGGTAGGTTGATACATATCATATGCCAATCAGCTGTTGTTTTGCTGAGAAACAAGAAAAGACAAATTAAACAACACTGAACAAATATGAACAAAAATATACAAAAAATAACATCCCGTATGTTTTTTCTTTCTTTTAGTCTTTTCATCAATAGAGCTTTAAGTGCCGTGGTCAAACATTGGACTCAAATGCATTCGCTTGGTCAAAAACCTGGAGTTTTCTTTTTTAATGGTGCATGACGATTTGACTTACTGTTTTGCCATTTATACCTTTTCTTGATTCGCATCC